ACGACGCAATGTAAATTTACACAGAATATGAATGTTAATTAATTTTGCATGTAAAAGTAAGTAAATTTGTCATGAATATTTACGTAAATAATGTTCACATACATTTCTGTGTAAATTTCAACCGAAAATGTTGTGTAAATATACAAAGGTTTTCAAACTAAATTCATTTTTTATGTGTAAAATGTTAGTAAATTTATCACAATCACATATGTAAATTTTGTTTGTATACATTTTTGTGCGTATTTCAACTACGAGTGCCCTTAAATATACAAATGTAATCAAAGTAAATTCAGTTATACATAAAACATTAGTAAATTTGTCACAAATATTTAGGTAAATAATAATCACACGCATTTGTGTGTAAATTTCAACTGAAAATGTTGTATAAATAAACAAAGGTTTTCAAATAAATTAATTTTATGTGTAAAATGTAAGTAAATTTATCACAACTACGTATGGAAATTTTGTTTGTATACATTTGTGTGCACATTTCAACTACGATTGTCTTTAAATATACAAACGTTATCAAAGTAAATTAAATTGTACATAAAAACATTGGTAAATTTGTCATAGTCACATAAGTAAATAAAGTTTACAAACATGTCTGTGTAAATTTTAATTTCTGATATCCATGTCACGCATAAGTGCTATTTGAGGGAGGGTTCTAAATACTTTTTTGGCCCTTCCACACGATGGCACGATAATGGTAACAAATAATAAATAGGCGAGTCCCCTCCCCTTCCCGAGTTTATTAGGTACCTATACGATTATACATTTATCCAGTCCGCCCAAATTAAAAAAATGTACGAACAGCAGCGGTCAGCGATACCTAGCAGGCACATACACAAAAACAAATTCAATAGGGGTTGATATGTAGGTACATAATAATTGTAGATATTAAATAATAAAACATTAATAAATAAAATGTGTATTCATCTTGATAGTTATTTTAAATTTGAATATATTAATTTATTGGTAGACAGACAATAATAAATATAATAAAATAGATAATAAATATAATAAAATAAACAGATAATGTTAGTTAATAAAATATTAATGTAAAGCAACTACAAGTTTCTATATGTACCTATATGTATAGGTGCAATAATAAACTATTTGGTATTACTATTATTACTATTTAAATTTGGTACCTACCTGGCTACCTAAGTAATTTAAATTTAGTTGTCAAAACCCTCAAACAAGCGTTTACTGAACAGTGTTTAATAAATAAATTGTAATAGTATTTTAAAAGAATTTGTGTACAATACCTGTACTGATAAATACCTAATAATAGACGTGCACAGGAGGTATGCATACCCTGAACAGTGAACATAGATCCTTGTTTCTAGAAATACCAACTTAGTAAATATACTAAGTATAGTTAAATTGTATAAATAAGTAACTAGGTATATAATAATATAATATCAGATCTGTTGTATATGTTGCAATACTAGTTGATAAAGATGTAGGTGTCATATTTTTTAAAACAATGTTGAGTAATGCATTTAATTTCTAACGAACCTATTTTAGAAAACCATATACATAATACAAAATTGCCAAATTGAATTATATTTCATATATGGGTTAATTATCCAGTGACTATTAAGAATATTCATTAGAAAATAATAATTCATTAATACATATTACATTTATTTGTTTAATTGATTTTTTTTTGATTTTTGTATGTAATTTTTTAAAATAAGTTTGGAGTCTCCATGCATAGATTCATATCAAAACATTTAGTGCCTTATAGATGGTAATTTAGTCTTTATAGACATCAAATAGTAGTACCTAATATTTTACATTTATTCAGTTTCATTTAACTACCCATTAAACATTATATAGGTAAACTTTGTAGTTTGTATGCAAGTACGTACCTATGCGGCTATCAGTGTTGGGTAGTATTACAAGGGGAAAAACATATGTATTTTGGTCACTCAAACAAAAATATGATGACATTCTATCTGGAAAAAAATTAATTTTTTGGTTACTGTGCTTAAGAATAGTGTAGAATACTATTTTTATGATGTATTTCGAATACATATTCGGAATACTATTTTTCATGAGTATTCGAGTATTTATTTCAAATACTTTTAAAAAGTATTTTACCCAAGACTGGCGGCTATGCAACACATCAAAATGTCGTATAATATTATTATTATTTATTAATCAACATAATATTTAAAATTACTACCAACTATAATGAGTAATGACTAATGTATACATTAGTCATTACTCATTATTATACTTACATGATTATACTTTATTATTTAAATAGTTTAATGCTAATTTATTAGTACATTACTACTATTGTTAAATAAATAATATTTCGCTCTAGATAATAATATTATTATTTTTATTTTATTATTATGATCTTTTTCAGTTAATTATTTTTTGAGTTCAATTAAAATTTAAAGTTAAACATGACGGGTTAAACATGCACCTAACATGACGGGTAGGTATACCTAATTATTTTAAAAAGTACTAACAAATGTCTACTATGACTTCCCAAAGTATTTTTGATCTTATTTGCTACCAGAAACCTTGATGGCTCAGTCAAAGTGGAATACAGGAGCATTTTTTACACTAATAATAGTGTTCTACAATGTTTTTTATGTTTTCAATTTTCATCAATGATTTTAAACATTGCATTGAAATGTGAAAATAGTGATACAAGTAAGCCATAGGACAGGTAAATAGTAGTCGACAACAGGCGCGTATACAAGGGGGGGTTCAGGGGTTCAACCCCCCCCCCCCCCCGAAATTTCAGGAAATAAGTTTATTATTTGTTAGTTAAAAATTTTTGAAAATTTTTGAAAATTTACAAGCAAACCCCCCCCCCAATTTTTTTTTTTGTGTCGCGCCTGGTCGACAACTGATAAATCGTAACATTTAACCATTAACCAAATTATTATAATTCGGATTTTTATTAGGCTGCTTTTAGTGTAGGTATTTATATTTTTCCCGAAATCGTGTTTACAATTATTATTATTTGGTGATAATAATAATAAATAATAATAGCATGCCTATTGGCTATAATTACCTAATATTTGTGTGTACAACCCGTATGCAATGTTGCAAAGATAGCGCGCCCTGCCGCCCGCCAGTCGTAGGTACGTATTATTTAAGTACCTATATTATTTCCGATTTCGGGTAATGCGGGTTTGCGTGATGATAATAATAAGTAATAACGACCGATAGTCGTTGATACTCGATTCATTTTATTAGTCTGTGCGTTACAGTTACTGTTGCCTGTTCTTGTGTTCTCTGTTGACTGTGTCTGTGTAGTGTGTAGTGGTGTAATACTGTGATTCCGAACCTTTGATGTACGTTATATTTTTATATAAATCGTTTATATAAACTATAATTTCGTCTTTTAGTCATTACATATTTACATAATATCCAGACGACCAGACAAATGCTGGATGTAAGTATAAAACTCGAACATATGTTTATTTTATTATTATAATTTTCCAATTCTTCATTTGGCTTAGAAAAAAAACATTAAGGTACCTATTACTTTATGCATAAAACACGATAGAATAATAGAATCGATAGATCAAGGTAAAGCACTGCAGTGGATGCCAGTTTAAACATTATAAAACATTTTGCGTCAAACGTTAAGTGTTTAGTGTTATTATGTTAACATTCTAAAAACAAAGTTGCAGTCATAGGTATATCTATTAATGACTATTATATTCATTTATCTTAAATAAAAGTTATTTGCTTCTCTATCCAAAGATCAAATGTTAAACAGTTTGAACTTTTCATTATCAAATCAATAGGGGAAAGGGAAGAGTGTTGTACCTTCGGCCGCATGTATCTTGGTGCTTATTTCTTCCTTAATGTAGACATAAGTATAATCAAAGAAGAAGAATTACTTACAGCTTTTGCCCATCTATATCTGGTTTTATATTCGAAGCATAATGTACCAAACTCAACGCTGCAGTTTATAATCGAAAAATATCGTGTTCTGATTAATGAGTCCAATCAGCTGGTGGAAGAAAAAATGATAAGTGCATTTTATGACAAGGGGTATAATAAGACAGACATTGAACCTATAGTAAAAATGGTTATGCAGCAACATCCTTTAATAGAATTACACTGTTCAAAAGGAAAAATGGGTTCAGATTTTAAAAAGAAAAAAGAGTACTTTTTCCCTATATTAAACCTATAGGATACAATCTGGGTTTAAATGGGAGTAATAAACTTTGTCAATATCATTACATACCGATAAAATTATCGTTAGAAAATTTATTTAAATTTGATTCTGTGTTTGAGCAGTACACAAATAGACAAAACTATTCACCTTCACTAAATGTAATTGAAGATATATATGATGGATCTCTTTATCAAAATCATCTTATATTTACCAAAGATCCAACATCAATACAACTTATCCTTTACCAAGATGAAATTAATTTAGCTAATCCTTTGGGATCTGCTAAAGGAAAATTTAAACTCCATAACTTCTACTATACAATTACTAATTTACATCCTTGGTGTCGAACCAGTACTGACCACATGCAGATGGTTTTATTATGTAAAGAAGTTTATGTTAGGTATTTTGGTCTTAATAAAGTGCTTGAACCATTAATTTCAGAGCTAAAAGATTTGGAACAGACCGGAATATATGTAAGAGGCCAACTTATTAAAGTCAATTTAATTGTAATACTAGGAGATAATTTGGGTAGTCATGGTATTGGAGGTTATACTGAGAATTTTAGACCTCTAAATACTTCTGTCGTTACTGTGAGGAATCTAGAGACAATTGGTTACTAGCATATAAAGATAGCCAACATGTTGAGTATGATGATGTTGATAGAAATAACTCAGAGAATTCTCACAATCAACCTACACCACGCACACAAGCTCCTGGTCGTACACGATAATCCTATGATTTTTGTGTGACTCAATTGGATACCAATCCTAATGGTTTTCGTGGTGTTGTGAGTAATTCACGTTTCAATGAAATTAATAATTTTCACGTCGTCAATACAATGCCTCCATGTTTAGCTCATGATCTTTTCGAAGGAATTGTACAATACGATTTATATTTAGCCTTGGCATACTTTGAAAAAGTATATAAGCTAAAAAAAGAAATCATAAACCGCAAAATAGATAATTTTGCATTTTTATTAATTGAAAAATTAGATAAACCATCAAGAGTTCCTATTAAAGGCTATAATATAGGCGGACATGCTGTTCAAAATTGGGTATTTTTAAGGTTTATTCCCTTAATTATTGGTGATAAGATCAATAGAAAAGATGATGTCTGGAAAATGATAACAATACTTATTCAAGTTGTAGGGATAATATGTTCTCCATCAATATGTAATGAGCTATTATTTCATTTAGACAGTCTAATAAAGAAATACCTTAGTATTAGAGTAAAATGTTTTGAAGTTACTCTTCGTCCAAAACATCATTACTTGGAACACTATCCACAACTTATACAAGTTTTTGGGCCACTTATATGCGTTAACACGTTGTCATTTGAACACAAACATGTGTTTTATAAAAATTTTGTTCGGACATCAAGAAATTTTAAGAATGTGACCAAATCCATCAGTACAAAGCATCAATACTACCAAAGTGCATTGACAAAAAACGAAATGTTTTACAACAGTCCGGTCATACAGTCTGCTAATACTCTCGAGGAATTTACTTATGACAATAATATAATGAAATGCCTCGTATCTATATTTTCTGTTGATGAGTTAAATTCGTTGCATTTTGGAACAGAAGTTATTTACCGTGGAACTCAATATTGTGAAGATCAATGCATTGTTATTGGCTCTAAGACAAATTTAGATATTTGCAAACTTAAACTTTTTTGCATTAAAAGTAAAAAAGTTTATGCAATAGGGATTCAATGTGATGGCATCATTGACGATGATTTTCAAATATATGTATTAAGTGTCAGTGATAACTATATTATTATTATTACACTTTCAAATCTAAATGATTACACATCATATTCAATAAACACACATAAAGATCGTCCTGTAATAGTATTAAAACATATAATCAATTTATAAAATACCTAATTATCTCCCTAAATTATATTACAATATTTATGAAGTTATTATATTAATCAATTTGTTTATTTTTATATTTACTTATATATTTTTTTTTTTTTTCATTAGATTCTAACATTATATTTTAATATAGAATCATACCTAACAATAAAATTGTATATTCCTTTTTCTTACTAAGTATATTTTGTTATTTTAAAGATGGATAGTTTTAATAGTGATTATGAGAGCTTAGAAGATCCACCTAAAGTGTCAACAACATTAAGAATGCAACTAGTTCTAAATAAGTTGTGAGATTACGGAGCTTTTTAGGGCTCTATAAACCACCCACAACTTGAGGGGAACACTCAAGTTGTGACCTACGAGCCGCGCCGCGTGACGATCCTAAGATTGTCGCGGTGGAACTCGTAGGTTTTAACACTATGGGGTAATGAAACGCCATTTTAATCTCGTACTTGGATAACTCATAGCTTAAAGCTAGGGAAGAAGGTGACCAATAAATAAATAAAAAAAAATGAATTTAAGGTAATAATAACAATTTGTATTGTACATAATAATAATTATATAGTAACAATTTAATATAATAATTTGAATGTAGCATGCGTAACGGATAATATTATTTGGTTATTTAAATGTGAGGAGAATAATATTTAATACTTTGGCACATGGATGGTGTTCATTTAATAATAATTAATAATAATTGCGAAACTCAGGTCGGCCCACGAGGTTCTGCGTGACACCGACGGTGTTTAAAATAGAATAATTTGCCAATAAAAAGTAGCTAACCATAGGGTTACCGCCCGAGCTGTCGCGTATAACAAAATACTCATAATAAGAGAAAGAAAGAGAGGAAAATATTACGACAATCCAATTTTTTGACGGGTATGGGGGGGGGAAAGAAATGATACATTACAAAATCATGAGGTTGACTGTTGAGGTGGTTGTTGACGTTCCGAAGATATGGGTAGGCCATAGAGTAAGATAGAGGAGCCGTTCTGTATCTTGCATGTATATTTTATTGCATCAAAGAATGACGGATTTTAACAGTTTGACCTCTATGAAAAAAAAAAAATTGTACATTTAATTTTAATTTTTGACATACTGTATGTGTTAATATCTCTTATCATAATATTATCATGCAGTTGTATTATTATTTATTTGTGTCTTATCATTGTCTATATTAAATTAAATTCTCGTTAATTAACCGGTATTTGAGCATAGAACAAATTTGAGTCAAATTTTAATAATGCCGAGTTGTTTCATTTGTGGGAGAACAAGAAATAGCAAATCCAAATCTGAAAACATTACTTTTCACAGGTACCCAGTGGCGGAACTAGGGGGGTGAAGCCGGGGATTGATCCCCGTAATTTTTCTTTAGTTCTTTATTTAATGCTTGGTGATAGAAGTTAAGAAAACATTTTTATTTCACATTATTTGTTTATGATGTTGTAGTGATGACGTTGGAATTAATGAAAAAAAAAAATAAAGTTAATGGTATTATGAATAGAATATAGATTCGTATTAGTATACTAAGTATATACTGGTATACTGGCATTAGCATACCTACTGCAAGCATATACAACTAATATACTATAATTATTAAGATTCTGAGTGAAAATGTAACTAGTAACTATACCTATAGGCATTTATTGATGCTGTGTTTTCGTTAAAATTTCTGATACCTACACAATAACTGTTATAAGATTATCAATTAACGTACGATACGTATATTATATCTGTAGGTACTTATATTAAAAATGATGTTAATATATAGTTTTTTTTTTTTTTTTTTTTTATTGATCTTAAGCTTCGGCAACTATGGCCATTAGCTGTAATGGTATATAGTTTATAATATTATATATTATAATATTTACCAAGATTGTTATACATTTGTTTATGTTTAAAAAAAAGATTTGATTTTAAATATTTACTTTTTCATTTTTTCTATTATAAATTGTTTAATTAAATACAATTTTTTACTGGCCTAAATTGTGTACCCTAATCAGAATAAAAGATTTTATATTTTACCATACAAATCTATTATAATTAAAGGCTGAGGCGCATAGAACCAAAACAGCAAAAGGGTTTATAATTTTTATACAGGATAGGTAGGTAATTAAAGTTTTGATTATTTTTCAACATTTATATATAACTAATATTATTATTATTTCTAATAATAAATACAATTAAGTAACCACTACAGTATTTCCAGTAATTGAAAATGTATCAACAATATGTTAACTAAGTTTTTAAATTCAAAGTGTTTTTGGTGTGATAGTTTATTAGTATAAACTTGGTTACACCACAGTCCACAGAATATATTAATTAATATATATTATTATGTGTTTAAAAGTTAATAAGTATATTTGTAATTTTAGTTTGCGAGGTACCTATGACTTATTAATTTTTAGTAAAATATGTGGTAAATATATACGAGATAATTGTTCCAGTTTTCCTTCGAAAAGTTTTATTTTGGAAAAATGGAAAGAATTTATCATTAGTAATAACCGAACTCCGGAAGACATCAATAAAAATAGTGTTATATGTTCTTGTCATTTTAAACCAGAGTCTTTTATTGTTCATAATCGTTATAGAATATTACAAAAACATGCTGTTCCAACAATAATAATATCTAGGGTAAAATGTGTAAGTTCTAAGGTCATACATTTTATTGAAAATAGTTTAAATACATGATTTTTTTATTTTTTTTTCTTTACCTATCTACTACCTATAGGCAAAAATGATATTTTCTGAACTTAAAGAAGAGGTGTTCAAGACTAACTCATATACTACTGCTAGTTCAAACCTTCAAATGAAAAGAATCCTACGTAAAGTAACTACATTTTTTTTTTAATAATAATAACTTATCTAACGACTTCATAGAATATAACTTGCTCTATGAATGACTATTACTAATAATTTTTTTTTAGGTAACTGAGAACAGTGAACCTGAAAATGGTATTCTACCATTAGGTGATATTGATTTGGATCAATCTATGCCAAGTATTTCATCAGATACCTTTAAAACATCTATTCCTACTGTTAAAGTAAGCAATTATAGCTACTCGTATAAGTATCTACTTTATTTAATTGTATTATTTGTACAAAAATATTTCTTTCTTAGCTAACTGATAATGTTGAGCCTGTGGACGGTATTTTACCATTGGTTGATATTGATTTGGATCAATCTATGCCAAGTATTTCACCAGATACCTTTAACACTTCGATTCCTACTGTTGAAGTAAGCAATTTATAGTTATAGCTAGTAATTTATATTATTTATTAATATTCATCTATAACTTAATTTTTAGAAAAAATTTAAATCATCTTATTATGCTGCGTCTACTTCTTGTGCCGAAGATACACCTAGACGCTCTTTTCTTAAATATGGAATTCGTCAGTTGTCCAATGAAATTCAAATCAAAAACAGTAAATTAAGAAAATTACAATTAACTATTCGACGTCAAGAAAAAAGGATTGCTTCAATGGCAGAAATCATTAAAAGTTTAAAATCTAAAAATCTTTTAAATGAAAATGATTCTAATATTCTTTTTGAATCTTTTGGTAAACATGCTGATTTAATAACAAATTGGTCTAAAAAAAACTTAGGGAAAAAAGTGCCAAAAAAATTTAGTCCTTCTATTAGACAATTTGCTTTATCGCTACACTTTTTTTCACCAAAAGCTTATCAATATGTTAGAAAACAATTTAACACAGTTTTACCACATACACGCACTTTGAGCAAGTGGTATTCACACATAGATGCTAATCCTGGTTTTACCAGTGAAGCTTTTAAATCGTTAACTTTAAAGGCAACTCATTCTAGAGCTCCAATTTATTGTAGTCTAATGCTAGATGAAATGGCTATAAGACAGCATCTTGAATTTAGTGGTACAAAATATTTTGGAAGAGTTGATTTTGGTAACGGTTTAGATAGTGATTCTTTAGATTTAGCTAAAGAATGCTTGGTGTTCATGGTTGTTTCTATTAACGAGAGTTGGAAACTTCCAATTGGATATTTTTTGACATCTAACTTAACTAGCATGCAAAAAGCGGAATTAACAAAACAAGCTTTGTATCTTTTAAAAAGCACTGGCATAAATGTAGTTAGTGTAACATTAGATGGTTGTTCAACTAATTTAAGTATGGCACGGATTTTAGGTTGCGACTTCAACTATGAAACATTGAAGACTAATATTATTTTAGAATTATCTGACAATCAAAAAGAAAATATTTGCTTATTTCTAGATCCTGCTCACATGATAAAGCTTGTGCGAAACACATTTGGCGAAAAAAAAATATTCCAATACAAGAATGATTATATTAAGTTTGATTTTATTGAAGCTTTATTTATATTGCAGGAACAAGAAGGATGTCACTTAGCGAATAAGTTACGAAAACAACATATATTTTATTTTAAGCAAAAGATGAAAGTCAAACTGGCTACACAATTGCTTAGTAAATCAGTTGCAGATGCACTGAAGTTTTGCAAGTATAAATTAAATATTGAAGATTTTGCAGGTGTGGATGCAACAGTTAACTTTATTGAATTATTTAATTCAGCATTTGATATATTAAATTCACGCTCTATTAATGCTGTCGGGGGAAAAAAGCTCTGTGTAAACAAAACTTTCAATATATTGCAGAATTCACTGAAATGTTTACTGAATACGTGAAAGATTTAAAAGTTAAAGAGAAAAATGATTTTATACCAGTATTAGAGTCAAACAGAAAAACAGGGTTCATTGGCATACTGGTTTGTTTAAATTCTTTATTGCAATTGCATTCTAAATTAATAGCTACTGGTGTACTTGAATATTTTAAATTATATAAAATAAGCCAGGATCACCTGGAAATATTTTTTGGGAGTATTAGAGCTCAAGGGGGATATAATAACAACCCAACTGCACGTCAGTTCCAATCGGCCTACAAAAAATTAGTTACTAGAGTAAATGACATAGAATCTTTTAATACGGGAAATTGTATACCACTTGAGCATATTGACATCCTCAATTATTCAAGTTCAGATCCCATAAAAGTAATTAACTTAAATAGTAATAATTATAATAATAAATTAGATCTAATTCTATCTGAGAGTGAAATATTAGAAAATAATCAGTCAGTAGACTCATATATAAATGACCATGATTATATTTGTAAGCCTAATGAATATAGCATTAGTAATTTCACAAAAGAAGTTACCATTTACATTGCAGGGTTTGTTGTTTATAAATTGGCATCAGTCCTCCGTTGTGAGGTTTGCATCAAATCTTTATGTGCTATTGATAAAGGTATGTTTTTAAACTCACTAATAACCATGAAAAATAGAGGTGGTGAAAAAGGTGGTCTTATGTACCCTAGCAATGATGTGCTTGAAATTTGTTTCGAGACTGAAAAGCTTTTAAAGATGTATAACTTTGAAACTAGAGCAATTAATACCATAGCAATCCAATCCAAAATTCTCAATTATGTTTTATCCCATCGAAAAATATTTAAATCATTAGAGTTTCATAGTGCTGAAAGTAATAGTCCTTTCTCGGATCATGTTACACTATTAATTAAATCCATATCATATACATATGTGAAACTTAAAATCAGTCATAGCTTAAGAGCTCGTAATGAAAACCCATCTTTAAGGACTTGGTATAATAAGTTAATACTTTTTAGAGGCCAATGAAAAACAATTTTTATAATGACTTATATTTTGTATTTTTTTTTAATATGTTGTAATTTCATTATAAGTTTAATTGATGAAACATGAATTTTAATTTTTAAAATTTTTAATTGTGTAATATAGCTATCTTTTTTATCATGTACAATATATTGTGTGTAATAAATCATTTCATATTACCAAAAAGGCTACACTGCTAAAATCCGTCACTTTATGCATCAACCAAAACGCGGAACGGCTCCTCTATCTTACTCTATGGGGTAGGCTGACAAAACTGTCGCCGGCTCGCACGTGGCCGGCATGGCCCACAGTCGGACGATTAATAGACAGTTTCGGACATTACATAATACTTTTATTTTGTTGAAGTACTTAAGTTGATAATTAATAATCATGATGATAACATTAATATACTTTATATATATATTATATATATGGTACCGTATATTTGATAAAACTTAATCTAAAATAATATACAGGTACCTTTTATAATTTGCATACGACAGTAACTGGAAAAAATAATAAATATTCATAAATAACATACAATATTCTTATCAACACGTATCTTCTACTTCCATCATAGTCTCGTTTTCATGCACCACTATTTCATTTGCACCTTAAATAAAACATTTAATTAATACTATGTTATATATATAGGGTATCTAAGTTCATAAATATGAATACTTACAATTAATATAATTGGCTTGTTGATCATCATCACTTTCACTCAGCTCATTATTATTGTGTAACAGTTCTAATGCTTCTGGTAACATAATCTTTTTATGTTTTTTTAATAATGTAGGCCTAATCGTAGATAAATGTGGATACGAAGATAATAATAAATTGTTTAATACATCTTCATTAGTAGATTTTTGGGAACATTTACGTGAATTAAATTGTCTATATTTCTTGAAGTCCTAATTCCGTGCCTCTTGAGCTTCTTCCGAAAGTTGGCCAATGGGTACTATGGCATGTTTAATAATATCTGCACCATGAAATAATAACTTATGAACTGAAGATGGCATATAGTACCATTTATATAATGAAATGTACCGTTCAGCAGTTTTTGTACAATAAACACCAAATTTGATATAATCTACTCGCTGACCAGAACTTATTACTTGCAAAATTACGGAAAAATTATATATAAGTGTTTCATCCAAACCAGTTATTTCAGCTACTTTATTAGGATTTTCAAAAAATCTTCTTGCACTATTACCATCATTAGTAGTGCCTACTCCTTGTTTCACCACGTCAATATTAAGTCCCATTGCATGTTTAAAACGTTGTTGAATTCATTTTTTTTTTTTGATAGTTTTAATTCTTTATGTTCGAAATTAGTTGCTGACCATTTTTTAAAATCTAAATTGTATGAAATGTGTAATAGACACTCTAAACATCTAATCCATGCATGCAAAGAAGACAACCCATATTTATAGTAGTCTACTTTATTAATCTTACCGTTAATAAGATGAAAATCGTTCATTTCAGTAGGTTTTGCGTTGCAAATATAACACCGTGCAGCTGAGCTAGTATTTGTTATGGTATTGCAGACTTTGCCGTCTATCATAGTCATAACTAACTTATGGTCAATTTCAAAAGTTTGATACAGACTAGGAACAAGGTTACTGATTTCGGATTCGATGCTGTTTATTTCAGTGATTATAGTATCAGTTGTCTCTTTTACAAACTCGAATTTAATAGGACGACAAAAATGTGTAGACGATGGACAATCATTTTCCCAAATAACTTCGTCAGTATTCAAATCATATAGTTTTATTGGGACTAAACTAATTATAAAAATACTAGAATCGTTTTCAAATGTATTATTGCCTATTGGAATCTATTTGTTTATAGTTACTTTGTCCAGATGCTCCGTCACATCCCCATTTACTTATTAGAACTAATTTTTTATATACAATTTCATTTTGGTTTTTCTGGACGGTCAATAAAATTCTCGAAACAGTAAAAGAGCTTGTAATTGAATTTTCGCGCCAGAACTAGTCACATGTATAGACTCCTTTGCTGGATAACAATCATTTTTTGCCTGTTGAATTTTATAGTACGATGGATAGTAATTTATACCATCTTTTAATAGACTATTCCGTAAAGTATTGTACTGATATTTAGACAGTTTTAAAGAAATAATCATACCAAGTGCTTTATTTTTCGAAAGTGTGTTTAAATAAATACTATTTTTTTCACATGTTTTTTTTAATTCTGTTTGCTTCACTGGGGTTTTCAATTAAATAATTTAGAATTGAAGCCATATCATTTTTACCCTCAGTTTTACATTTAAATTTTGCCGCATGCAGAAGTTCATCACTCGAATAATTATTTCTTGGTGATTCAGTTATACGATTTTTATGTCTATCAGAATAATTATTAAATTTTGTTTCATTTAAGTTTGAACCTCTATTAGGAGACACATTTTTAATACGAATTTCAGATGCGAAATCTTCCGGCAATATATAGTTTTGCATAAGCCACGTATCGTGTTTATTCAAAAATCGAATTTCATTATATGAAGCGCCAACCCATTTTTTATGTAAATTATTACAAAAATATCTCAGTGACAATTCTAATGATTTGAGGGCACCTTCAGAAATCTTTACTTTAGTAAGTTTCAAAATTTCAGTTTGAAGAAATAAATGATTATTAAGATTAGTTTTCGAGAGCTTCAATAGTAAATATAAATCATTTTTGGTTCTAATGGACTCCATTGTACAAACTATTAATATCGAAAAAAAAATCTTACCTAAAAGTTCTGTGATGGACGTAGGTATGTTGAATGTGAAAAATATATATGATGACTGATTAAAAAATAAACTCAGTCGACACGCAAGACGAGACAGAATAAAATTTAATACCTACAGGTACCGCTATGCAAACACCACTCATATTTATTATCGTAAAATGTTAATTAATACAAGGGTCGGACAATGTCGGATAAACTAATAACAGAAATATCAAGTCAACTAGTTTGATAACCAGCTCCAATTTATTTCAAATCGACAATAGTTGACAATTTTTCTTAATCTCCATTTAAAGTATACATATGCATAAAATTTATCTTCATAATTATATTTTATTTTTAAAGTTTGATAATTAATTTAAGGTGTTTAAATAGTACAATAGTTATGAATAGTACACATATTATGTAAATATACCTCATTATAATTATTTTAATGATTAAAATGATTAAAAGTGATATAGTACCTAATTAGTGAAATTTTAACTTTTAATACTATAATATAATAATAATAGCAATTTCTCTATACAAATTATTTATTGAATATGACGATTTTTGTTATATATTAAATTTACTTGTATTTTCATCAAAAACATTTTTAGTTAATACAATCATTAAATAAACTACTTGAAAATACATTTTTATCATTTTCAATTAAAAATTCAATGATTTACATTTTAGTACAATGTCCGATATTGCCGCTGCCGCGCTACACTGAGCGGCCCATTGGCGTTGGTCAGCCCATCATGATGAGGTTTCAACCACGGTTTAATACAGAAAAAGAAGAAACACAATGGTTGCCGTTGAAAATCGTAGGTGTACGCGTGTGAGTTGTGTACGACAAGGATGAACTATGAAGGAGTCCGAGAGACGTGGACACGTGGTATACGGCAGAGTCTTGCAAGTTCAGCGGTCTCGGTGTAAAAAGAGAGTGATGAGGCGTCAGCGGTCGTCTTCGGCCGTTGACCCTGGTCGTCTTCGTGGTATTGGTGGGGAAAGTCAGTGTCGCATGATCAGGGGAAAGTTACATTAATTAGGGCAGTGGTTGTCAACCTTTTTGGGTCCACGGCTCCTTTTGATTTTGAAATAAAATATACGGCTCCCATACGAACATTTAAAATAAACAAATTTACATTACTTATAATAATTTTAATCTAACTTTATTTAATGATAAACATGTAATTAGGTATTAATAATAGGAAACATTTTTTTACATACAATTAAAAAATTAATACATTAATAATAATTTTAATTTTTAATGGGACGGCTGTGCTTGTTTTTGTTGCATTAAATCATCAAATCGTGGGGTATAGGTTAGGTTAGGAAAAGGTGTATTCACACATGTCCGGTCCGTGTCCGGTCAGTATCCTGTCCGGCATTCCATTTTGTGCACTACACTGTTATCACGAATTTCATGTACGTTTGAATTTCAAAACTCAAGCTGGTCTTGATATTTGTATTTTTTAATTTTATGTGCTGCCTGACGGCCTGACCACTTTTTATTATATTTTTCCTCATTGACTTACGAAAATTGTCTCTTATATTGTTCCATCTAGTTTTACAAACTTGACCTAGGTATATAAAAATAACATAATTCAATAATTAGATACCTATATATAAAATGAAAATTCATAAATCGACAAGTATGCTTATACAATTACTCAAACATAATATGATTAATATAATACGATTACTCAAACAAAATATTATACTTATATGTATAGTGCAGTGTTGACGTGTTGTAAAGTATTTGAGCAAATGTATTTAGAATACTTTTTGGTTTAAGTATTTGGAAAGTATTTTAAATACCTATACTGTCTTGGACGTTCTTGTATTTTAAAATCAAATACTTTTATACAAAAATACTTTTGAGCTAGTATTTAGTGTATGGCGGAGCTATTTTACCGAAAATGAGGGTCATGAACACTTTTAAAAAAACATGTTGCTGAAATGCAACAAAACGTTTCTGACCGAGGACGAGTTTTCAGTCTTGGATATTTTATAAATAAAATTCGTGCCTATGTATTTTAAATATTTTCAAACTACAATTATATTAACTTATTAGTAACCTTTAAATTTTCAAGCTTTTTTACCCAACGAATAAAATATTATTGTCATTTATAAAAAAAAAAAAAAAAAAACAAAAAAAAATCGAAAATTGAAAATGTCTATAAATAATTTGAAAAGATTTTAAATTGTTTAAAAATGTTATCATGTATAGAAAATGCCTGTTTTTAAAACACACAGTATGGAAAATTAATATATTTACCTCTATCTTATAAGAATATAAAAAAAAAATTTAACAACAATTTATAAATAATATATGTGCTCTAAAGTATAGCTGTAGTATTAACTAGACAGTAAGTTAAAACAAGCATGCATTATATGAATTAATATTTTATTTCAGATTTTTGGCAACCGGAGATTCGTTCAAAACTATTTCTTTTAGTTATCGATTAGGCCATTCTACTGTTTATCAGATAGTTATTGAGACGTGTAGAGCTATAGTACATCGATTAATGACTGAAGTCATGCCACCTCCAACTGAAGATCGGTGGGAACAAATAGCTCAAGATTTTTGGATGTTATGGAATTTCCCAAATTGCTTAGGGGCGATTGATGGGAAGCATGTCACTATTCAAGCTCCTCCAAATAGTGGTTCCAATTACTATAATTATAAAAAAACATTTTCGATTGTTTTACTTGCTTTGGTTGACGCACATAATAATTTCATAGCGGTTGATGTAGGCTCATATGGGAAAAATAGTGATGGAGGCATATTAGCTCACTCAAATTTAGGAAAAGCCTTGGAAAATAACTCCCTGAAAATTCCAGAATCTAAAACCCTTCCAGGAACTAACACCAAAGCGCCGTTTGTGATAGTTGGAGATGAAGCGTTCCCTCTCAAAACCTATTTATTAAGACCGTATCCTGGAAAACAATTGGATTGCTTTGATAAAAAAATTTACAATTATCGTTTATGTAGACCTCGCAGAGTTGTGGAAAACACTTTTGGAATTTTGTCGCAAAAATTTCGTCTTTACAATCGGAGAATCCAATCTAAGCCAGAAAATGCAGATTTTATTATTTTAGCAACATGCGTTCTTCATAATTTTATTGGACGTGACTGTCGTGCTACAAGTTTCTTACAACACAATGATCCTCCTACTATAAGCAGTGAACTACAAAATATACCTATGCAAGGTGGCAGTGCTCGTCAAGCAGCTTTTTAAGTAAGGGAATTATATAAAGATTTTTTTAATTCACCAGCTGGTTCTGTACCGTGGCAAAATGATAAGGTGTCAAAATGAAATTTCTTAGTAAAAAAAGTAAAACATTTTTTACATTTTAGGTTTTAGATAATTTTAGTTTTAAGTTATTACATATTATTATATAATATTTAATAAACTAATTAAAAAATTGTTCATGATAATATATACAATATACCTCTAAGTCTAAGAAATGTTAAGAAAAAAAAAATAATTTGTTGCACTTATTGAGTCTATACTTACCTATGTA